TTTCTTGTGGTCAAGTGGGGGGGGGGGGTATGACAATATGCCATATCTACTGTTAGCAGGCTATGTGCTGGAGTACCAGAGAAAGGCTTTGAAATCATAATAGCTCTTAGTGACATATTTGAATATTTAATCAGTCCCAGCTTTAAGAAAAAAGCTAAGGGTTATAAAAGGCCAGAGTAAGTAGGGAATGACCTCCAAAATGGTAGACAGCCTTGCAAAAAGCTTGGGAGCAGGAGGCAGAATATCATTTATGAAGAATTGCGAGTAGGGCAGTTTAAACTAGAACACAGAGTTTGTGAAGGGGAGCAATGTGTGATAAGCTAGACAGGTAGGGTGAAGCAAAATTATGAAAGGATTTCAATGCCTAAGATAGAAGATCTTGTATTTTATCCTAAAGATGGTAAGAAGCCATTGAAACAGCTATCAAATGTCTTTTGATTGATCCTCAACTTCATTTTTTAAGAGACTATGCTGTTCCATGACTTCTAGTCACTCCCCATCATTGGAAGAATATTTGTATCAAGAAGATGGGCCTTTGTCTTGAGGTTGTTAAATGAATTTTGTGTTATCTCCAAACCCTTCTCCTCTTATTCAATTCTATACTCATCTCACTGTCCAATTGTAATAATTTTTCAAAGAAGATGTATGTGTTTGTATGTGTGTATGTTTATGTACATATACATCAATAGATGTATACACATAGAACTCTATGGATCATCCATGCAACTTTATATCATGATCTGGACAATCGGCATTCTCCATTCTCTAGGATTTTCCATGGTGGATAGTTAGGCCAAACTCTTTTGAGTGGTTATGAATCTTACTGAGGAGTTCTCTGGTATTCTGGGGCTTGATCAACCAATCAATCAACACCCATTTTATTAAGTACCTAAGAGTGCTAAGCACTATAAAACTGTTTGTAAGGCCAGATACACTGACAATAGAAAAAGATGTACTAAAACAAAGAGCAATTTTATATGCATTCATATCAAAAGGTGACAATGATATCTATATAGTCTGCAATAAGCTTGTCCAGTGGTTAAAGCACTGAGCTTAGAGTCATGAATACCTGAGTTCAAATCTGACCTTAGATAATTACTATGTAATCCTGGGCAAGGATTATTGCCTCAGTTTCCTAAACTGTAAAATGGAATAAAAAAGTACCTATCTCCTAGAGTTGTTGTGATGATAAAAATGAGATAATATTTGTAAAGCACTTAGCACAGTGCCTGGCTCATTGTTGGTGCTTTAACAATTCTTATTTTCTTCCTTACTTGCTTCCTTCTTTCCTTCTGTTAAAAATTATACTGAATAGGGCCAGTTAGGAGGTTAAATGGATAGAGGTCTGGCCTTGGAGTCAGGACAACCTGAGTTCAAATCCAGCCTCAGTCACTTGACATTTACTAGCTGTGTGACCCTGGGCAAGTCACTTAACCCTGATTGCCTCGCCAAAAAAAGCAAAAAAGAAATATACTGAATGGTGCAGTTTGTATACATTTTTATTAATTTTTTCTTTATGGTTTTAAAGAGTTGTTTATTAGGGACTCGATAATCCTCAACAAATATGAACATTTCCATATAAAAGGAAGGGCAGAAAATAGGATTGTTTATGGAACTATGAATTTATTATATGCAGTTGTTTTTTTAAGTATAAATTAAATTTCAGATAGAAAAAATTTTTTGGATCCCCTTCTGAGCTTCCTTCTCTCTTCTGTGTATTTTTAAATGTTTAATTGATTATCTCTTTTTTCTTTTCTTCTTTTTTACATCATTGTCACTACCTCTATTCTCCTCCCACAGTTCTTCCAAAGAAAAACCCAACATGGTAGATGATGATGATGATGATGATGATGATGATAGAGGGCATTTATATAGTGCTTTAAGGTCTGCAAGACACTTTACACATAATGTTTCATTTGATCCTCACAACAACCTTGTGAAATAAATGCTGTTATTATCCCCATTATACAGATAAAGAAATTGAGGTTGAAAGGTGAATTGACTTTCTCAATGTCACTCAAGTAATAAGTGCCTGAGGCAGGATTTGAATTGAGGACCAGCAAAATAAATTTGTGTTGCATTGGTTTTTTTTTTTCTGATTTTTTTCTCATTCTGCACCCATAGTTAATCACCTCCCCGTCAAGAGGTACTGTGCAAGATTCATCAGTAGTTTTCTGGAATCCTGATTGGTCCTTCTATTATCATAGTTCTTTGGAGTCCTGATTGGTCATTATATCATCAAAGTTCTCAAGTTGTTTAAAATTGTTTTTCTTTGCAATATTATAGTCATTTCATACATTGTTTTCCTTGTTCTGCTCACTTTCCTCTGTATCACATCAGTTCATTCAAGTATTCCAAGGCTTCTCTGAAGACTTGCTTTTTGTTTTTTCTCTCTTTTTTTCTTTTTGACACTGAATCTTTTTCCCTTGCCCAGGCTGAAAGTGAAGTGTCCACTGTCAGGCTGATCTCACTGGAGAGAGGTATATAAGCTTTGACCTGCTTTGTTTCTGTCCTAGCTCAGTTCTCTCTTCCTCAGGCGGCTCAGTCCACCCCTACCCGACCCAACCATGGGGTTTGCCATATTGGTATTGTACTTAATGCAGACACCTCAACTATGGCCCAACCACTGCTCAGAGCTTCTGAATTCAATTGATCCACCAACCTCAGCCTCTGCAGTGTCAGGGATGATAGGTGTGTGCCACTGCACCCAAGCTCCCATCATTTCTTACAGTGTAATAATATTCCATTATATTATTATGCCATAATTTATATGCAAGTGATTTGTACCCACTTTGATTCCAGTTCTTTGATATGAAAAAAGTGCTTCTACAAAGAGTTGTGCATATTTGTAGTCTATACTTAGCAGTGGTATTTCTGAATAAAAAAAAAGTATGCACAGTTTAGTGTCTTTATTTTTTTTTTTTTTAGCGTGGTTACAAAGTGTTTTCTAGAATGGACCAATTCAATAGTATTATACTTTGCCTAACTTCCCACAGTCCCTCCAATAATTGCAAATTTCTCTTCTTGTCGTGTTTGCCAATAAAATGGGTGGGAAATGGAATCTTATAATTATTTAAATTTTATTTTCTTTTATCATTAGTGAAGTGAAACATTTTTACATAAGGTTGTTGATAGCTTGTATTTTTTTTTTTTGAGAATTGCTTGTTCATATCCTTTGATCATTTTATCTAATAGGAAACGACTCCTTTTGCCATATGTTTGAGTCACTTTTCTATTTCTGGCATATAAGCCCTTTATCAGAAAAGTTTGCTGTGAAAAAATTCTCCCCAGGTAACTGTTTCCCTCCATATTCCGAATGGATTGATCTCCTAATTCTAACTGCATTGACTGTATAAGCAAAATTTACGTAATCAAAATTTTGTGTCTCCTGTAAGAATCCCTACTCTTTGTTTTGTCAAGAACCTTTCCAGCTCCTTCCTTGCTCCTTTAATTTGTTTATGATATGATCTTTTGTATTTGGCTGTGTATTCATCTGGAATTCCTTGTTATATATGGTGTGTGATGTATTCTAACCCTAATTTCTGCAATATTGCTTTCCTTCTTTCCCAGCAGTTCTGGTTGAAAAGTGAATCCTTGCCCCAGGAGTTGGGGTCTTTGAACTTATTGAATACTATGCCGTCGTGTGCAGAGATATGAAAAAATATTAAGGATAGGTTTTCATCTCAAGCTTTCTCATTGCTGCTTCTTATTTTGGGAAAGATAATTTTGTTTTCCTTTCTTCCTCCCTTTCTTCCTCCTCTTCTCCCTCTCTCCTTCCTTCTTTCTTTCCTTTTTTCTTTCCTCCTTCCCTTCTTACCTTTCTTTCTTCCTTCCTCCACCCCTCCATTCCTCCTCCTTCCCTTCCTTCTTTCCTCCTTTCCTCCCTCCATTTCCCTTCTTTCCTTTCTTTCTTTCTTTCCTTCTTTCCTTTCTTTCTTTCTTTTTCTTTCTTTCTTTCCTTCTTTCCTTTCTTTCTTTCTTTCTTTCTTTCTTTCTTTCTTTCTTTCTTTCTT